GTATAATACTTGTGTGGTGTAGAAGTGAATCATTTACTGCTTGCAAACCAATGATGGTAAGATGATGTCATGGGGTAGGACTGGATAAGTCTGACTTCTTCCTACTCCATTCAAGCATGTACTAGGTATAAGCAAATTGATATTGGATTAGCATTTGTTGGATATGTGTAAAATTATGTGTGTTGACATATCAACTGTCTTTACATGCTTGAAAGAATAAATCAAATCAAATCAAATCATCAGACCATAAACCATAATGCTGTCTAGTCTCCCTCAGAAACAGTCACACTACATCTACTGTATCTATTATTGAATGGCTTAAAAATAACTTCTTTTTAAAGGAGCTATTCCTATAAATGTCTTTATTGGCTGTTGCTTCGCCTCGAGTCTTTTCTCATGTCACCATTTTAAATTATTTATCTAAAGGCAACACACACACACACACACACACACAGGTAATTGAGTGCATTGTATTAGGAGATCTTTTTTAAAACCTCTGATGTTATTGTTACTTGAGAAATAGTTTTTAGAGGGCCACAAAAATATCTAATAAATTGACTTTAATGACTTTAAAGAGAACCAAAAACAAACCAGGGTACTGAAAAGGTACCAAGAAGGACTTGAATATTATTAGAAATCTCTGAAAAAGTGAACAGTTCTTTGTTTTGTTATGACCTTTCTCTCTCTTTCTACTCCAGTTTTCTGATCTTGTCCATCTCACCCCACACTCCCACACATTTCTCATTCCTTCTCTAATGTGTGCATATGTGTGTGTGTCTGTGTCTCCACCGCCGCTGTTTAGGGGAGCTTTCTCCGAGGTGGTTCTCGCAGAGGAGAAAAGGACCCAGAGGCTAGTCGCCATCAAATGCATCCCCAAGAAAGCATTGGAAGGCAAGGAGAACAACATAGAAAATGAGATTGCGGTACTACACAGGTAAAGTCCCTGAAGTTCCCCGTCATGCAGTGGCTGTCGGTCTGTGCTGAGCAGGAGGCATCAGTTAGTGCAGCCTTTTGCAATAATGCATGTACAAATGCAAAATATACATATGCAAGGGGTCAACTGAATGGGTCACTAAATGCATGGTGTCAGTAGAAACAGTAGGACTGTGCACCGGAAATGTCAGGAGTAAAGAAGATAGACCTATTTTTAGTGTCCCTGTTGCCAGGGCAACAGCACACAGAGGCGGAGATGGTGTGGAGTTCCCTGAAGCAGTGTACTGAAGAAAGAGAGAGACAGAGGGTGGAGAAGTGGAGATGGGGGTAGGGTATGGGTATAGGGAGAAAGGTATGGAAGAATGGGAGGAGTGGAGTTTGGCCAGATACTTAAAATCACCATTAAACAAATAAGAAAGCTGTGATAAAATAAAATAAAAAACAGAGAGGGATTCTCTCATTCTAATAAAAATCACATTAGCTCCTCTCAGCTGCCATTGTGTTAAAGCGATGGTGTGTTCATATGCTCTCAGCTCAACTCGACAGCCAAGAGAGATGCTCAGCCGTCAGTTGGCTGCTTATTAATAATAAGTTATCCACATTTTTGTGTGTGTGTAAGAGAATACCACTTTGTACAGACTTTCTGTCAAAGCCTAGATATAATCTCCAAAGGTGTTCTTTGTTATTGGTCCCAGCTGCAGACACCAGTCACCATCATTGTCAACAAAAGCTAGTTATTCATCTAATAGCATTGCTGTGTTTGATCATGGGGATTTTGTCATTTTAAATTTTGGGGGAACAGGGTAAAATCCATAGGTTTAATTCCAATTTACTGAAGACCCTCTACACCTGGATTCTGCAGTAAGAATGCCATCTGGTGACCATTCGACAGGAAGCATTAGAGAAATGTGGCACTTTTAAAAATGTAACATAATTCATGGTGATTTCTGTCAATTTACTTTACTCAGAATCAAGCACCCCAACATTGTTTCATTGGAGGACATCTTCGAAAGTACATCTCACCTATATCTTGTCATGCAGCTGTGAGTTGTCCTTCCTCTTTACCTTACACAACTGTATATGCAAGAAGGCCTGTTTTTACCACGCATCCTTATTGTAAAATAGTTTCATAATTTGGTTTTATTACTTGATTAGTAAGCTGACAGAAAATTTATTTGTCGCTCCAGTTCAGCATGTGAAACAGGAGGGTTTTTGTTTCTTCTGTTCTCAGTCAACATTATTATAAAAATGAACATGTTTGGGCTTTGGACTGTTAGTCAGACAAAACAAGAGTTTGAACAGTATTTGCCTGCAAACAATTTGTAACAGTTAATAGTTTGCTAATAAGATGTTCATTCAAAATCAAAGCATAGAGTTACATGAGCGGCACAGGGCCATTTCTCATTCCCATGGTTTTCACCTGCCAGGGTATCTGGAGGTGAGCTGTTCGACAGGATCGTGGAGAAAGGTTTCTACACAGAGAGAGATGCCAGCCAGCTCATCCAACAAATCTTAGATGCAGTCAAATATCTCCATGATATGGGGATTGTCCACAGAGACTTGAAGGTATTGCAGACATGAACGACAGCAGCTCAGGATGGCTGAGCTTCCCAATTTAAACCCCTCTCTTTTATCAACCTTCTTGTGTTTGCAGCCAGAGAATTTGCTTTATTACAGTATGGACGAAGACTCCAAGATTATGATCAGTGACTTCGGCCTGTCAAAGATTGAGGGAGCAGACAGTGTCATGTCAACAGCCTGTGGTACTCCTGGATATGTGGGTAAGGCCAGCCAGCCTCTCCTCACCTCCTCCCTCTTCTTCATGTGTGCTCAGCACTTGTTGTTTCAGAGATCCACTCTTTATTTATCGTGTTATAAGAGGTGCTTTCATCCACTACTGAGTCAATTGCAAGTGTTTCAGAAGTGCTCTCTACCTGTTTAACGTGACCTGGCAGATCACACAGTATTACCGAAAGGTCAAGATTACTTGAATTCACCCTGACTGCTGCTCTGCCTTGTATCTCTTCCACTCTGCGAACGTGTGCTTTGTGTCTCTCAGCTCCTGAGGTGCTCGCTCAGAAGCCATACAGTAAAGCAGTGGATTGCTGGTCCATAGGAGTTATTTCTTATATTCTGTAAGTCAGAGCTCATTCATCCAGTATAAGTATGGAAAGTGATTTTTTTATAGTTCTGAATGTGCTCCAACATGACTCCCTCAGGTTATGTGGATATCCTCCGTTTTACGATGAAAACGATGCTAAGCTGTTCGAGCAGATTCTGAGAGCAGAGTATGAATTTGACTCTCCGTACTGGGACGACATCTCAGATTCAGGTACTACCAGTGACTAAAAATATCCACAGCAAATCCAACACTGAATATTCCCTGTGAACATACATTTCTGTTTGCAGCCAAAGACTTCATCTGTCACCTGATGGAGAAAGACCCTTTGAAGAGATATACATGTGAGCAGGCACTCCAGCATCCGTGGTAAGAAAGTCAAAATACTTCTTATCCTAAAAATACACACACACACACACACACACACACAAATACACTCACACATTTAATATGGTTGTGTGTACCACTGACACTATTTGTCAGTAAGTCGATAGAAAAACAGTGAAAAATTCAACTCAAACTCAACTGGAATTAATCTCCAACAGTTTTGATAATGGATTAACCTTTTAAGACATCTATCAAGTAAACGTGCCGGACAGTCTCTAGATTCATGTGAGGACTTACTGTTTGATCGTTTCTGGGATTTGGATTGTTTGTCAACCAAAACAAGCTGCTTAAAGATGTCACCTTGGCTGCTGGAAAATTATAATGGCCACTTTTTCACTATTCTCTGACATCTTACAGACTAAATAAAAATGATAAAAATGTACAGTCTGGCTACAGCTGAGTTATTTGAACATTAATAGTTAATCTCTTGATTATTTCCTCTGATCAATGATTCATCTTTTTGACTATAAAGTAGATAAAGAGGTGGAAAACACATAAAATGTACCAAGCCAATGGTGACACATTGAAATGTCTTGTTTTATCTAAGACTTAGACAAAGGTGTTCAAAGACATTCAGTTTACTATGAAAAACTTGTCTGCATGACAAAGACAGTGATCAAATATTCACAGTGTAGAAGCTTGAATCAGCTAGTGTTTGTTTGTTTGTTTTTTTTAAATTGATCAATTATTTAAATTGTTGATTAATGATTAATTAGTTGATTAATGATTCATGAATATGCCCTAGTCAGGTTTGTGAACTCACATTTTTGTTAACATTGCAGGATCTGTGGAGACACAGCTCTGGACAAAAATATCCATGAATCTGTCAGCGCTCAGATCAAGAAGAACTTTGCCAAAAGTAAATGGAAGGTCAGTGCTTTGGCTGAGTCACACAACGACCTGCTGAAAAAGCAGTATTAAGACTGGCGTTAGCAGTTACAACACATTTTGTACATCTTTGCTGTTTTTCTCTCTCAGTGGCTATCAGACACAGAGCCTTCTTTTGTCCTTTCTTCTCCCCCTCTGTTCATGCAGCAAGCGTTTAATGCCACAGTGGTGGTGCGCCACATGCGGAGGCTGCAGCTAGGCACTAGTCTCGAGGGACCCAGTCAGATTACTCCCACCAGTCCCTGCCATGGACATCTGCTCCCAGAGGAAGAGGAGGAGGAAGAGGAGGAGGATTTGGGGAATGGGGAGGAGGAAAGCTGTAAGTCAGGAATTCACTTGAATAAACAAACATGTGGCTCAACTCCTGAGCAACAACCACAGTGGAACATGGTAAAGGTTTAATGATGGCAGGTAGTACTGGACAAACGTCTGAGAAAAGTAAGGACAGAAATGAACACCCAAATGCATAGGGCTCTACTTACAGCTGCCATAATGAAAATGTCTTATCACTGTATTTAAACTGAGATACTAGGCTACACAGACATTACCAAAATGCTCTTTGGTGGATTTGTATTGCTTGGAATCGCTTTTCTTATCATATGGAGAGCTGAGTGTTTGGTCCAGCCAACTTCAGTCTTTTCTTCTTGGAAACAAAATCAAAACTAAGTCTTGCATATGAGACAAAGTCTCTAGCATGGCAGTGATTAGCATAGGCCTAGATCTGTTAGCACCACTCTGTCCAGGGACACAAGAGATTTTCATTACAACTTCAGCTCAAATAATTAAGGTTGACCACCAGGTAAAATGACTTACATAAAAGGACATTGTCCCCAAAATAGTCAGCTAGATAATCAGCCCTGGCACATGCTAAACTGACCCACAGCCCCACACGTGGAAAGAAACTGACCTATGTAGGTGAGTAGGCAGATGTTTGGCTCTGGTTCCATACGGCTCTTTAGCCCCTTTCAGTAGCTCCCTGGTTCAGTGGCTACGGCTAAGCAGAGCTAGCTAGCTGACACATAAGCGGGCCATCACATCTCTGACAATGTGTGAGCAAATTTCTAAATTGGCATTACTTGGATTGACTGAGCGCATATTCAAAAACTTGGTTATTTTCACAACCGAAGAAATATCAAAACTTAATAAAGAGGCATAATTACAGTATGATGATAATTATAACAGCTTTACGCCTGCCCTGTCACCACTGTGGGACAACGAGACAGTGTAGTGTCCATCGCTCCCATATACTTCAAAGTTATGTTAGTAAGCCCAGTACCACTCTTATTTCATTTACACAGACACGAGGAGGATAGACCTGCATAGCTATGTATAGATGCTCCATTTTTAAATAAGCCCACACATGGCAGTGGGTTTTTACTCCACTATACAGTCAGTTTTATGTTTCTTTGGAAATGGCATTTCCCCCAATAAAAATAACAAAAGTGCCTTTCTTGTAGTAGTTCTGAATTTTATAAATATACCAAATCATTGTGTTATTGTAATGGAGATGGAAATTTAAAGTACCAAATAGTCTAATCACAAATATCCCATAGTAGTCACCTTCAGGTAAAACATACATAAATACTCATTGCAGGCTGTGGAACCTGCATGTAAAGGGCTCAAATTGCTTTTGTGGCTCCAGACAGATTTTGTTTTCCTCTTCAGATAGTCAAAGTTACTGACCCCTGCCCTAGCTGAACAATACCAGAAATCATATGTTCCCCATTTTTCTCTAAACTCCAGTGTCCCACTATGAGGACAGCCGTCGAGGTAGCAATGAGGGCAGCACGGATCGGGACAGCCTGCGGAGCTGCACCTACTGCTGCAGGCCGGCCAGTCGTGTCTAAAGATCAGCCTCCTGTTGTCATTGTGACACTGTATCCCTGGAGTGCCCAGAGTCCACCCGCCCAGTCTGGCCAGGATTACAGAGCGGTTATGATTCAGCACCCACCACAGTACATCCACAGCAAGCAGGTCACTCTTACAGTGTGGAGGAACATGCTGTAAGTTTTAATGATGTTGCAGAACGATGTGCAAAGCTGCTCCAAGTGAACAGAGGATTTAAACATTTTTAAAAAGGGGCATCTCTGCATGGTTATCTTGAAATAAACCCCCTAGCAACTTAACCTTTCGTTAGCCTTCGTGCAGCTGTAACAAACAGTGGTCATTTGGCAGCGTGTACATTGCAAGCTGTTTTGGATGTGAAAAACAATAACACCATGAGTAAAGGCATTTTTGTTCCCATGTTATGCATCACATCTACCTCTAATCACAGTAACTGAGTGTTTACATCCATCTGGCCCACACACTTTCCATAACTGGCTCCAAAAATCTGGCCAGACAGGGCACAAAGAAAAGGGAAACACTTTTTTTTTTACAGCAGCAGTGCTAAAAGCTACTCCTGCATGTCTTTATACTCTTTACCCATCAATGTGACTGAGTCAAGTAGCTGTTTCGTTAAAACAAGGTGTCTTCACTCCCGACTCCACTTTCCCATTTGTTCTGTTTGATCGCATTTGTCTTATTTCTCATAAAGTCACGATTAAGTGCGTCTGTCCTTTTATAAATATTTAGGGTTTTATTTAAAGCCTTTTTGGGAAGGCGATACTTGAAAGCAGAGGGTGATTCTGGGGGGTTATGGATTCTGGTTCAGACTGGGTTTGTGCAGAGTGGTTCTGACCTGGAGTGTCTGCATGCTTCTGTTGGAAAAAAATGTATGAATATCAAAAGGAGATTTTTTTGTTTCATGGCTGTTCTGTTATTGGAGGCTCAAACTGAGATCCCTGTATGTCTGTAAGTCACAAGAATCGGACCTTCCTCCATGGGCGAGGGGAGTTATTTTGAGTTGTGTCGAGTATCTACTATGCGTGGGAAGAACACAACCATATTCATATTCCACTCATCCTCCCTGTTATGTTTCTGATAAGCGCTGAAACAACCAGCAGCTGTCAGGCTCTCAGTCTGGCTCAGGTCTGGGTGGGATCTCAGTCTGGGTGCTCGCCCCGCTCCGTGCTGTGCACCTCTAGTGGAAGAAGTTTTGGTCTACTGTTTGCATGACCTGGTTAAATATGCTTACATGAATGATGATCAATTAGTATAAACACACATGATTATTATTACTCTGTTGTATTGAAAAAATTTGTAATACTGTAATTTTGAGCTTATATAATGTGAAGTGAGTAACACCAGAAGTAATGTTGTTGACAAAGTACAACACAGCACAGTGGACTTACCATTTGCATTGACAAGCCTCTGCCTGAGTGACATTCTTCTGTACTGTTTATTTACAGCTCTTTCTGTTGCTTGCTGCCTCTCAAACAATTTATTCCTACCTAATATGCAGACACACAGAGAGGAAAAACACTTATTTATATGAAACAGGTGCCAGCCACAGTACAAGACATAAAAATAACAGTAATTGTGCTGGAAGCATCACCTGTCTGCCAGTGTGCAAGCTCTACATGCGTCCACCTGAGTAAAAGGACTACAGTGCTAAAGCCATACAGGGAAATTTCACATTTCACCGTATAGATTCAGATATGTCATCATCTTTTAAATATCCGACTGAGATGATGGGTGGCTACAGTTCTGTAAGAGATTTAACAAAGAACAGAAGCACCTGCAACAACTAGATAAACACATTAAATCCAGGTTTTATCATACCATGCCTTTGTTAATTTAATGTTATGGCATAGTTGCCCCACCATTAGTAAGCTGTAGAGATATCCAACCAAATCATAACAATTAGTTGAGTGTGATTAAATTTTGTTGCCCACATTAAACCAACTCCCCTGATCTGTCGTTGATCCATACAGGTCCGTAGTACAGTAAACGAAGGCAATCACTCGGGATTACATGACTGTCATTGTGGTAAATATGCAAACTGTGTGTGAAGGGCTTCATGTTAACTGTAAGACAGCCAGTGATAACCTGGCTGTTGTTTGTTTGCTTACCTGAGATTTGTTTCCACCTGGCTGTGTTTTTTAAAAACCTTATCTGAGCCTTTTAGCTTGTTTCACCTATTTAGCTACAAATGTATGGATGCAATGCATCATGGGTTATTGAACAAGATGTAAGAAAATGCAGCGATTTGTATCCACAAAAACATGATTGCAGGAAATGAAATAAAACTTCCTTGTCTATGCACTGTGTGTTCTGTCATTATCCAATAATATGCAATATACTCTTTGAGATGTAATTGACCAAAAAAAAAACATTCTGGTTTGCATTCTATTTTTATACTATTGTATAATTAATGTTTACAAGAGCATTTAAAGATGTTGTATTAATATAAGTACTGTACATGTATTCATGTTCAATAACTATACATGGTTGTAATTCAGTCATTGAGAGTTCTCAGTTTTTTTATTCCTGTTTTTTTTATCTTTGCCTGTATTTTATAGTACTGTGCAAACACACTTGCATAAAGAGAAAACATTTAAACCTCTCGATTTCACATTGCAGGATATGACTATTATATTACTATATAGAATATTATCAGATTATTTTCATTGGCAGCATCAGTCTCCTTGTTAGACATTTAGTCATACAGTGATGGTACTACACTTGTAGATGCTCAATGAACACCTGATTTAGCTGAAGAATTGACATGTATAAGGGAAAAGAGACCACCATGAAAACACACTGTAAAATTCTGCAGAAAACCTTTATCACTCACTCATGATTCTGGCAACATGTTGTTGAGGTATAATGGACACAGTAGACATACACGTACGCAAAACAAGTTACAAAGTAGTAACACAAACACATCATATGGTGTGAATTTCATTCACAATGTACTCACAAAATACTGTGAGAAATGATACGTGCATATGTGACACAGTTTCAGGGGTTATCACCATCTATTGCATTGTCTAACATAAATCAGTAGTCTTTTTTATGCATATAAACTAAATTATATTATTCAGGTGGAAGAACTGTTTTAAATTATTTCTGTACAGCTTAATTCCTTACTTATTAAACCATAGTATTTCATCAGAGCATCTAATCATATGCTTTAGGGTTTCTTGCACATTTGGTCAGAAATTACTGCAGTTATTTGCTGCCAAATGTGATTCTCCACTTGACCCAGTGTTGTCCTAACCATAAATACTGTGCAGTGCTATCTATTTATTATTATAGGTTTTTATCACTAGACATTAAACACCAACAGTAAAGATCATTCTTGCATCCCTCCACCCACTGACTTATTCCCAGCGCTCCACTCTGCTGATAGTCCACAGAAAACATATGTATGCATTATGGGTATTACACTGACCACTGTTTAAGAATGAAATGCCTGAAGAGCCAAACAATCCATAGTTCTCAAAACACAGGCAATAAAACAGCTGAATTGTGGATTCTCTTTTTGTGGTGTCTGAAAGTTCACATACCTAGAAGTTGTGTTAACCCTAACATCTAGCAGAGAAAGGGATGTGGTGCAGGAGTCAGAAACAATGTCTGCACTGCCCTCTAGTGGCGGAATGCAGAACAACTTGGTACTCCATGCATAGTAGCTCCTCTTGTGGGTAAATCCTAAACATCACAGTACAATAATGTCTGTTCTCAAAATAGATCATTTCATTTAAGGTCAATGACATTTGTGGAAAATGTGAGAAATGCTACAGGTCATCTATACACTTCTTCCAGCCTCTGATGTCTTTTCAGCGGCTCTTGGTGAAGATTTTTTGCCTCCTCCCGATCCCTGCTCGCCTTCATCCTTTGTTCCCATCTCCTTTTTCTAGAGCTTGCTGGAGTTCAGTCTTTCCTTCTTTAGATGCTCTCCTGACAGAAACACAGAAGGGCTTAATGATGTATATAAACAATGAGCCAGGAGTGTGAGTGTGCCTGTCCCGCCTCTTGTGGGTCATCTGTGGTTCTTAGTGGAGCTCCTGGTGGCTCTTGGAGGCAGTCAGAGGCCTGAGAGTTTTCTTGGGGGTGTGAGGAGATTACTGCTCTGCTCCTCACTTTGTAGATGGGGTGGAAAGGCCTGAAGCTCTGGGCGTCTCTCTCTCCCTTTCATTTCGGTGTGCTTGCATTACTGAGGCTACAGAAAAAACAACATACCAACATGTATTGTTCTCGCAAGATGATTTTTTTATGTGCAACATTTTTTCTTGTCATATTTATCATAATTACAAGTACATAATTCACATTACAGTGCACTCTGATCCATATACTGCACTGACAGCTAAGAATCAGTAAAATAAACAATACATTTAGTTAAAAAAAGCAAATCTACATAACAGAAAAGATCAAATGAGTTTATACTATCTTATATTATTTAATGGTATCTCATTCACAATATATATTTAGTTTTATTATATGAGAATTTTTAAACATACACACAGTGCTACATTATATTGCTGTAAGAACCATTTAAATTATATAGGTGACATGTTTTTTGCACACAAACTGCAAACTTGGAAGCTCACACAAGCTGTAAATGAGCAGGTAAGACAGGAATAATTAAGCAACATGAGCAAAGGTGAACAATTTGCCATACATCCTGAAGTATATTGGTTTTAACGCACCACATGCATGGCCATCAAACCAAGCGCACGTACAGTATGAAACAGCTTCTGGATGCACTGCTGTGTGCATTGTACCACAAAATTTTTAAGCACTTGCTAAATGCCACCAAGCAAATGGTTTATTGGCAGCCACATAACAGTTCATTGACTTAACAAATTCTGACTCACCCTTTTACTGTTTAATCACAGTCACATAAAAATGTCCCTGCAGCAGATACTGCTGTGACCCCCTGTGCTTTATGGCACAGATTCACGCAGAGGTTAGTACGGTGCTGCCTCACAGCAAGAGGCTATTAGAAGGCCTCTAAAATGAACAAATAGCACTACAGTCAAAAGAACATGTTGGAGAGCTGCACTATCCCTGTCACAGCTGTCACATCAGAACAGTACTGTGCATAATGTGTGCAAGTCTGTTGAAAATAGTTAAGGTAAAAAGACAAATACTTACAAGATGATGCACAAGTCAACAGTATCACTATGGATATTTTCAGATTTTATCATCTGAGCCATTCAGATGCCTCGTTTCCACCTGGAAATGTTACTGTTCTCTTTGTCAAAAGAAAAGAATCAGTAACATCTGAAACAGAATATTTTATAGTTATTACCAACCTATGGCTAAGACATTGTGACTGTTGAAAATAGTACTTACTGCCAGTAAGGTCAGCAACACAAGTTTCATGCAAATGACTGCGAGAGTTGTGAGCAACACGAAGCCGTATCCTGATGCTGACAGACAAGTGAAGTGTCAGGTCCTGTTCCACATGTCCAGTGAAGCGGGTGGCCTCACCAGTAAAGTGCAGGGCTGCCCCATCATTAATGACAGGATCAGACTAAATTCCCACTGAGTTATTCAGCCGCTGTGCAGAATTAATAGTCTGGTCAGGAATGACTGCCCTGTTGGATTTAGACTGGAAAGTTGAATAAACTGGTTCAGTTGGTTTTGTTCTTTTTTTGTTGTTGCTGTTGTTTGGTTAAATATTTCATGAATGTGCGGGCAAACGCAGCGTGGTAGATTAACATTTATGCTCTGAGTGCAATCGGCTCTAGTCATGTTTTTAATGTAGTCTTGGCATTAGCCTGTATTTCAACCTGGGCGGCTAGCGTATAGTAACAGTGTTATAATGGTCCACTAAAGTCAAATTTATACAAGTGAACAATTTGAATGAGGAAAAAATGGTAACTACGTGAGGTATTTTAATGACAACTGTGCTGTTAGTTGCTGTTTGGTTGATGAGGGGAAAGTCCTGCTGTTAAGTTAAATCTCACAGGGGGGATATTATGTGGAGAAGAATTAACAGGACATGACGGGATAAACAGTCTCCAAGGCCCACTCTTCAGTGTTGGCCAGTACTGAAAAGTGGGCCTTTTTCCTTTTAGTATAAAGACTTGTTTTTGGTTGAAGCACTCGCTGTCTTTGATAAATAAAAGAGACAACAGCAACTAAAAATACAGTACTTTAATGGGATTAAGTAATCACAAATTACAACAGTATTAGTCATGGGTACCAGCGACATTTTACTGCATAAGTATTTCTAATGTTGTTACTTTAAGTACATTTTGTAGATAATGTTTTACTTCTTAAGTAGTTTTACTTAAGAAGGAATTTGATTCTGAGTACTGTGTCCACGGCTGGGTGAAATGACAAAGGATGCAATAAATACAGACAAGAATAAAAGAAAGACAACAAATATCCAGTCACTTGACAGCCTGTTCAAAATCTTTTACACAGATCTACTGTACATTCTCCTAAGCTTTGCCGTTTCCTTTGCATCATTCCTGCCACATACTTTTTTCTTTGCATTTTCCTTTACTGTTAGCAATCAAGTCACATTAGTTTTATTTAAACAGCCCAAAATTACAAATGAAAAATTTATAAAGCACAAGCATAAAATTAATTTAATTAAAGTTCAATGAGTTAAGTTTTGAGTTGGAGCAATTAAAAGATTGTTTGAAGTGGCATAATTTTACGAGGACCTAAGGTCATTAAAAAGAAACTTAAGTCACATTCTGCTGTTCATCACAAGCCTTTTAAGGTTTAGGTTTGTCATTTACTGCTTTTGGGAAACAGCCGCTCACTGAGCAGGGAAGAAGACAATTATCATGGTTTGTCTGTGTGTGTCTTTGCTGACACAAATAAAACAAAACCGCAGCAAACAGGATCACTAACCTTCTCAGAGACGCTGTTGTTTTTGGACCCTGCAATTCCAGCTATCTCCACATTTTGCAGACTTGATCAAAGTGCTTCCCATTCCGACAAATACCTCCTTCATTTCACTTGTCATTCTGCCACAGAGGAGTAGAAAAGGGTCAAATGATGTGATACAAAATCATTTCAGCAGATGAATCGAGATTTTGATTTACTTTGTTGTCACATCATCAAACAAGGCCACTGAAACAATCATTCCAGGCTTAATCTCCTTCAGTTTTGCCAGGATGTCTTTTGGGACTCCTGTTAGAGTTGTTAAAAGAAAAAGAAAAATTGTGATGTAAAGGCT